CCACATTCTCACCATTACATTTCAACGATGCATATTCAAACAAGTATATAATACTTGCTTCCTAGCACAGAAACGTCAGCTTCCAAATGTACTAGTACGACCACAGTCCCCATCCTTTAGAACACAGGAAGCTACCTTATGACAAGGCAGCTTATTTCTTCACTTAGTCCAACCAGTCAACTCAGGCTGGTCATGGATCTTCAGAGTTTCAGGTGGGGAAGGGGCTTCCCCATCACCTGCTGTTGGACCTTTTAGACCAGTGATAACTATGGACCTTCTGAGTATAAAGCATTGTGTCCTACCACCGCAGGTCTGCCTTCCCATTGCGACACCCTTAGCGAGTTCAATAGTACCAGAAGTTCTAGTGCGTGGAAAACAGATCAGTGGCACACTAGTCCAGCTGCTCAAATATACATTTCCAGGTAATAGGAGCATTCAATCTTTTAGCAAACGTCTGTCAAGTTGTTTCCCAGGAGCCATGGGCTAGCTAGGTTTGAGGCTGCATCTAGTTAGATTGCCATGGAAAGGGGCTTCATTTTGCTGCTTGCTCACTTATCTTATAAGGAAAGTAGATATGGACAAGTTCACTGCTCTCCTAAATTAATCTCAGGCTAACTGGGAAAGGATTCAAGAATTTCTGGAAAAAAATTACTCAAGTGAAATATGTTGGAAATTGGTACATTAAGATATAAGAATATGCAAATCCTGGCATAATATACTGGAAAACTGGTATGCTGGTTTCAAATATACATTCCCATGTGCTCAGGTTTCAATGAATGCAAGCTTCCATGTAGGCAATAAACAAAAAGTGGGAATTTAAAATGGAAGCTGAAACTGGTAAAAAAATATTGCCAAGTTCACATCCCTTGAAATCAGTCCTGCCTTAACTATAAAGTTGAAATTGCTTTGCTTCCTATACTCTTCCTATATTCTACATGAAATTTTAATAGCAAGGTTGCAAATACTTTGTTAATATCAGTAACTGACATAGTGACCTTATAATATTCAGCATTTACACACATAAGAATAACTATCAGATAACAAGATTGCAAAGTCTTTGACAAGTTTTACTCTCCTGTCAAGTAATGAAATCAAGCATCTTGAATGAGTTAACAAAGCCACCAAGGTATCAAATTCCAAAGTCACATTTCAACTTAAGAATATACCCAAATTTTTAAACTGAAGTTCTAGAACAGGGAAAGCCTACCTTATTTTGAATTTAGCCATGGTATTTGGGCAGCAGAGGCTATGAAATGCTTGCATAGAGGGCCAAGATCCAATTCTGAACATTTGGGCTTCGAAGAACCTAAACTGCTATACCTGAAGGCAAGCTAGGCCTGACCTCAATGGATTGTTAACATACATCTTGGGAGAAAAAAGGCTGATCGCGGCACACAGCAGGGCTTTTAAAACCCTTTCCTCCCACTGCAGTCCCCTCAAAGTTCTCCACACATGCCTTTTATTGATGCCTGGAGTGAGCAAGAATTTCATCTGTAGTCGCAAGACAGTCGAGCATGCCCCGTTCACAATCTCAAAAGCAAGTGCAAACCGGAGAACTTGTTCACTGAAAATATTTGCAAGCTGAAATGTACACTTACATCAAAACTGTCCAAGTTTCAGAGAAACAAAACTGCATTGCATATGCGTATTGCAAAATTCCAAAGCTGTGTTTTTATTTTGTGGAGGAAAGTTGTGCAACTATGAAAAAGACTCAGTTTTGATTCCATGTGTGTTCACAAACAAATGTGCAAGAATTTATTGCAAGTTGATGCCTAAACATCTGGGCAAATACGAGCTTCATTTACTTGCCCATCGGTAAGTGCAGCCTCCTTGGGCTAACAGCAGTCACCATGGGGGAGGGAGAGGTGATGACGGAAATTGTTAACTCTCTTCATACTGCCAAAAATTGCTCTGCTCTGATGCCTATTAAATTCCTTCCACCCAATATCACGTCTACTTGTTCCCCAAGGAAGAGCTCTGGCTGACTCCTTGGAGAGCCACTTCCAGTCGGAACAGAGAAAACTGTCCCGTTTCAATAGAAGGCCATTCCTTTCATCTTTGTTCTCTAAACTTCATTGTGACCCGTAGGCCACAGCTGGGATAAGGGCAAATTAATAAGGGCTGGATCAAAAGGACTTCCTCTTGACAGCTGGATCAGGAGGGAATACTCTGCTGCTGAAGGGGAAAATCAGATTTCTTGCACTCTGTATATTCATACCTGCGAGAATATCAAGGTTTCATGAAAGAGGGTTGCAAGTTTCTAGTACTCATGGCTGTTGGAAATTCTGAAAGGGAATGATAAGAACTTACAGTTTTGCTATGTTATTTATTTTGTGCTCTGCATGGCTCCCTGTCTTTAGCAGCTGAACTAGGAAAACCATCATGGTAAGTGGAATAAGCTTCACAGGGAATCTACAGGTGAATCCTGGAGAGGGTGGGAGAGGAGGAAGCAAAGGGCTATTTGCAATTCTAGCCAGCCCTAACTGCAACTGCCACCAGAATAACTTTGCCAGGAAGGAAGCCAGCATGAAGAGTGCTTCTTTCTCTTTTGCAGTATTATGACACAAGCTATTTCCAGCACTCTCCTGGAGCTACTGTTAGAATTTCGACAATCCTCCAGGAATCCACTGCTCTTCTGCTCATCAGGCTTCTTTCTGTGCTCAGCCCTGGCTTAGGAAGTGAGCTGAGCAGCTGAAGTCCCCAAGCGCTCGAAGAACTCCTGCTGCGGAACCCAGCTACTTTCTTCTGCAGCACAAATCCGCAAACAGGTGCCCAGAAGAGGAACTTCTGGCATTGCGTGGCATCTGTTGGGGTCCCAGCTGGGGCCCGTGCAAAGGCTGAGCATGCTTGGTGCAAAGCTGGGCTAAGGGCTGCAAGAGACCAGGCTGCAGCTCAAGAAGCCGAGCTGATGGATCCCCAGCCCCGAAGAGGATTCCCCATACAGCTCCTGACGCCAACATGTCTCCCAGGAAATTTCGGTTACCATGCTATAAGGCCCTCTTCTCACTCAGTTTCCCTTTCCCATCCCAATGGGGTGCTGACCCATCTAAAGAAACAAAGTTTGAACCTAGGAACCCTGAGTAAATTGTGCCTGGGGCTGAACCTTAACATTTGTACAGTAAAAGAGAAAGCAGCTATTGCTGAAGGCAAGGCTCCAGATTGCTTTTCTTGCTGTAATGCTCGCTGCTCCGTGTTGCGGCCTGCTGTTGGCACTGCAGTTATTTATTTACATATATTTATAGGCCACCTCTAATTGCCGAGGCCTTGCCAGTCATCAGTCCTAGCCGCAGCCACCAAACCCAATGCTAGCTGCAAAGGTGCACCATTCACATTACTGCCTCGCCCCGAATCTTTGCTGTTCTTTTGTGACAAGGACGGAGATTCTGTCTGCCTCCTCTCATGCTACCAGAACATCACCACAAGACATGTTAGATGTGCATCTAACCATGTTTCTTATAAAATTAAAGTTCTCCATATTGTGTGGGGTGGGTGGAGACTTTGCTCCAAGAAATATTTACTTCAGGAGGCTATAGCAGACACAGGTAGCTTTAGTTCTTTCAAACATGGACCTCAGCATTAAAGAGCAGCTAAAACGTGTTGGATCCAAACATGCGGACAAAGGAACAGGAGGAGGTCTTAACAGAGAGGGGCCCTTAATCTATTAGGACAATGATGGAAGTTCAAACAAAACTTAATGTATGGAATATTTTAATCTGGCCTTTCAATCCAGCAACCTTTCAAAGAGGTTCATAACAAACAAAAGCAATTTGCAGTGTACACTGAAGCATAATTAAACAGAACCAGAAACAAACTTTGCAAAATGGAGCAGACATAGATCAGGAGGAGGAAAGCCAACGGAAGATACAACAGAAGTCATGGTCTGACATGCCAGTAATTTAGGAGCTAACTGGGTGTCTTGGGGGAAGGGAATTCTACAGCCTGGTGCTTTAACACAGAACTCCCAGTCCCATGTTCCAGCAAACGGGACTACAATTCCTACAAGATGCAAAGAAAGCCTCCATGGAGGTTTGCTTGGGATGCTTGCAAGTGGACGTTTCGCATGGGATGAGACAATCCTTCCTATATCTTGCTCCCAATGCATTTAGGGCTGCTTATTTACTTTCTTATTCTACCCTCGGATATGTTTTTTCCCCAAGGCAGCTTAAGAAACACATAGGTAATGCCCAGAGCATTAAAACAGTGCCTGGGACTAGAGCATCAGCTGAAACAAAAACAGAGTTTGTGCTCTGTAAAGCAAACATCAGGTATAATGGATTGCTCGGGCGGGGGGTGGGGTGTGAGGCACATTTCTATACTTTATTTGTTTAGACAAGAAAAAAAGACTGCAGCTTCTAAGCTTTCCCCATACCAGCTGTAGCAACATTCATTAAAGGAAGGTGGGTAAAGTGGAATGAAAGCAATGCTTAAATCCAAGACTGGCTACTTTACTGCTGCCTAATAAAGGATTACGAGGAGCAGGACTCTAGTTTACTCTTCTAGCCATGCTAAGTTTCTTCATGTCAGATCCTGCCTCCCCTGCACCCACAAGTATATGCTGGAAAAACATCAGCACCACAGCTGCCTGAACGGGTTCAGTCCAGAAACAGTTTCACCCTGCGACCCGCTGCTTGTCTAGAGACAAGCGGAAACTGGGGTTCCACCCCTTTCACGCCACCTTCCTTTTCAACTGCACCCCACCTCCACCTCCAAAGGCAGTCAAAGCAGGGCTACAAAAAGGTTATACTCTCTAAAAATGGGCAGATGTGAAGGCACGCCCTTGTTAAAATTGCTTGGCTGTGCTGGTGCAAGGAATGGGAATCCGCCGGGAGACTGGAGGCCGTTCCCCTGCTCTGGCACCATTCTGCACGCCTCCGTAGCGGCTCCCTCCCTCTTCATCACGTCGGGCCTGACCTTCTTGGGTTTGGCTGCAGGAGGGAAAGACCACTGACGGGAGGAGAAGCGGTGGACATGCTGGAGGTGCAGAAAAAGCCAAGTCCTACCTCAGGTAGTCCCTGCGACACAGGATAAGGTTGGCTTTGGTGTACAAGGTCGAGCCCACCTCCCCCAGGCGACAGTCACAGCAGGCACATTTCAGGCAGTCCTCATGCCAGTATTTGTCCAGGGCCTTTAGCAGATACCTGTCTTTGATCTTACGGTTGCAGCCAGCACAACCTTTCGGTTTGGTGTCTGGCTGGACAGAGAGCATTTGTATACCTGGAATGAGAAGAGGGAGGGGAAAGGCATCAATGAGCAGATGTGCAGAATGGGCTCTCAGTCCCAGCTCCAGTCCCAGCAGGAATTTTGCTAGGCTTGATCAAAACCGTCCTCTTTCTTCAAAGTTCCTTAGATGTTTGTCCAGATCGTGTTTCTCCCCACTGCCGTAATTCAGTGGTCATTCTTACTCAAGGACAGAACATAAAAGCCCAGCTGAACCCAAGCCAGAATCTTGTCCTTCTCACAAGTAGCTCAACAGGCCCCGCAAGGAACCTTCACCGAGCACCGAGCCCACTGCTGCTTCCCAGTCACTGCTATGAGCACACGGCTCCTGAAGGGCTGGATGAATCTCTTGATTTTGGCTTCTCGCATTTTCTTATTCTTCCAATGTTAAATTTGTTTCATCCCAAACTTGGAAATCATTTTTTCAAAAAATCCTGCATGAAAATTTGAATACATTTCTATGTGCATTCTCATAACATACATTTGGTACACAGCTTTGCCTAATAACATACATTTGGTACACAGTTTTCACAAGCCATTTCCCCTATAATTCATTGCTGAATTTTGTTTTAATTAAAATTTGAGTTTGCATGTGCACTCTTATATTGGAAAATTCCCTTACAAAATGGAAGATGTGATATTCTAAGAATAAACTTTTTTTGTTGCATAATGTTTTGTAAATGCAAAATTCAGTAAATTCATAAATTCTCTCCCATACCTATCCCAAACTTGGGGATTTTGATATCCATCCTGACCAATAACCACAGATTGGCATGAGGTTATATGATTCTCCTTTAAAGCCATCTAAACTCATATCTAATTTGAAGATTTACTCTTTGAAGACGTGCTTTTTTTTGGCCTTCCTGAATCTGTTACCATACATTTTCTCTGGGTAACCCCAAATAATTGTACCAAAAAGAAACAGAAAGACCATGCTATATACTTCCTTCATACCATGTAGAATGTATAAGCCTGAAACACATCCCCACAACCTTTTGCATTAAACAAAAAGAGCCCAAAACACTTTAGCCTTCCTGAATTTTCTGAATTAACTTTGCTCACTACACTGTCTTCCCATCAGCCATGGACTCCCAAAACAGCCCATCCTGTGCTGTTGAATGGCAAATGTCAGCCTAGGCTGGCTAACAATTTCTTTAATCCTTGCTTGGCTTCCAGGCTGCAAGTGTTGGAACAATCCCTTAGACGCCTCTCTCACCTTCTTCAAAATTTCACCTAAAGCAGCTGGAGAAAAACTCATACTCCGTGTTTTGTTTCCCCATGCCTTCCAGGATAGACAGTCTCTTAGGATACTTTTTTCATTCATTCATAAACAGCCCAACAGTAGTTCTCCGGGCAGTTAAAAGTTAAAATTGAACAAAAGTTAGAGACAGACATCACAATAAAATTAAAAGAACAAACCTGTAACTGCAAATTGCTATATTCAGCACAGAATCACAGCAGCCATACAGAAACATAAGAAACTAAAAACAGAATCTAAAAGTTAGGTGGTAAAGATGCCAGGAAAGCAAATGGGTCTTCAGCTGGTGCCAAGAATACAAGGTAGGTGCCAGGTGCCCCTCTTTGGGGAGCGCATTCCAAAACCAGGCTGCCACACCCTGGTAGCCATTTACCTCATTGCCTTTGGAAGGGGCTCCTGCAAAGAACCCCCAAAGATGACCTCAGATTTGGGTAGGTTATGTTATATCAAAAAGCAAATCCAATATGAAAAGTTGGAAGCAACTTAGTAGCTTGCTGCTCTAGACATTTCTCTTTGGATAGCTTAACCTCTTCACCCGAAACATGCTCATCTGGAACCAGAGATTCCTTCCTTTTGTCAAAGGAAAAGCACCTTCCCACTTGCAATAGGATGTGGCACATTCACGCTCTGCCACCAACAAGTTAGGGGCTCTGCTCAGGAATGATTACTGTAATTAAGAAGGCTCTGTTTATATTTCACCTGGAACATGCATGTTTGGGGTACATAAGATACTGAATGCAAACAGATGATACACCCACTCTTCAAAGAAGGGATAGAGAGGCATGTGCCAACCACATCCCGGCATGAAAAATTTCCCTGGGCTGGAAATAATGCCCTCAGAGCCAGTTATGCTCCAAGTATCTAGGATGGGTCCCACCCCTAAGAAGCCAGGGTGGCGTAGTGGTGAAGAGCGTGGGACTAGGACTCGGGCGATCTGGGTTCGAGTCCCCATTCAGCCATGCAGCCAATTGGGTGACTTTGGGCCAGCCTACCTCAAAGGTTTGTTGTTGTGAGAATAAAACTGAGATCAGCAGGAGAAGAATGATGTAAACCATCTTGAATTCATTAAAAAAGAAAAAGGACAGGATATAAATGTAATAAATAGGCTGTGCACAAAAAGAAAAATGTACGAGCTGCCTAAACGAACAGAAACAGGGTGTGAGAGAACAGAAAGTGACTGAAGAGGAAAACTAAGATTTGTTCTTTACTGCTGTATTCCTTTTATCAAGGAGATGGAGGCTAGAGGGATAAATGATGGAAGCTTAACCAAAATAAGGATGAGCAGGCATTTTTGCTTCTGTTTCTTTTTGGTAGGACTACGCATATTTCTCCACATTCTAGATGGAAGGAACTTCAGATTCAAAGCAAAGCAAGGGAAAAACTGAAGATGACAAATCTATTTTTCTGGGTCCAGGATACTCAATGTTTTGTTCCCAAAACGCTGGGTTTAAATCCCTTTGTATTCAACCATGTTAGTAGTGAATTAGGGTTACTATTTATTTTCTCTGACTCACCTTTAATTACAAATAGATAGAACATTTTCAACTCCATGCTAGGAATAGCAGTAGCTATTGAATTTGTCCTGTGCAGATGAATGAGAATTTTATTTCTTCATTATTAATAAAGAATTTACCAAGGTGAGTCAATTCATATGTGGCACAGAAAGAACCGGAGATTAAAAAATGGGAACCCAGGCTAAAGTAACACTGACAGACTCGCTGATCCCTAAAACAGGAACTGTGATGCAAGACAACTTAACTGAACATATAACTCTCCCATGCGTATATTAAATATTGACTCAGTGCAATTTTGGTTTGAAGAACATGCTGTCTAGGAGCCAACTTTAGCAATGAATGAGAAAGGGCCTGTAGATCAGGGTTAGAGAAAAGATGTGCTTACTTAAATTCCCCCCTCCCAGATTTAATTCAAGCCAAATAAAAAAATCTAATCTAATTTAATTTGAAACCTAATATCTGGTTGCAAGTGAGTAACTGCTTGTCAAAGCTAGATGGACATAGCATAAGGGGAATATTCTGCATTCTGTACCTTTGCATTGTACGCACAGAGACGCAAACGATGGCTTTATCATAATTGTGAGGCTGATACTACTGAATTGATATAGGCTTCCCCATAGAGGAAATGTGCTGCTTTGCAATATCATCATCAATGCTAAACAGTTTAGCTTGGGAGCAAGCATGCTAAAACATGTCTTGGCCAAAATGAAGCAGGGACTGTGTTACATCGCATCTTGTTTTAATTCTTTATGCAGCAATGAATTACAGACAATCTACCCTCTTCATATTTTCCCTAGTGCTTTGCAGAGTTAGCAACATAGCAGACCCTGCCCCAAGGAGACTGCATTATGAATTTCACATATAGGACCAAAGGGATGAAAATGGTTTTGTAGCTTCCATAGACTTAGGCTGTCCTTCCACTGAGAATGTGGAGGCATCTCTTAGAAGTTCAAAAGAAAATGAAGCTTGCGAGGGGAAAGGAACCTACTTTTATTAGCTGAGTAACTCACGGCTGGTTCATTCAGTAACTTTCTTGTCCTCCAAGAGGCAGTTCTGAGAGATAAAAAACTGAAACCTATGGGAACTTGCTCCCAAGAAAGCATGCCAGTATATAAGATTGAGACAGCATAATTGATAGAAGAGCAATTGAACTTTAATTTAACATACAAGAAAAGCCTACAGCATCGGGCCAATCGACACACCCTATTTACTTACGGACAAATGGGAGAAACTGTATCCAAAAAGAGTGTGTATATCTGATTCAAATGTTAGCCATATTCATGGTCTCCATTCCTCAGGAAAAAGTCTTGGAAAAACAGGAGCTTTGCAAAAGGTCAGACTGGCATCTGCCAGAGCAAGGGAGTGGGGAAAATTCCAGTCAGGAACCTTCTATAAAATAAACGCTTTCCTGCCCACTGTTAATTTGGGGGGCAGCCAAGTTTTATCTTCTCAGCTGTTCCCAAATGAAATCAACAGCAGGTGGCTAGGATCTAGCACCTAAGATATTAAGTTCTTACGAGCAAAAATGGAGTTTAATAGCAGAACACCATTATATGTAATTGTATCGAGATTAGCTGCATCATTCTGCACCTTGCAACTAGTCTCAAAGGGTAGACGAAGCCAAGAGCCCTGCTACATCAGAGCAAGACACATCAAGTCCAACATTTTGTTCACACACTGGCCAACCTGCTGCCCATGAAGGAGAACATGGCAGCCACACTGGCCTCCTATCCATGCTCTCCCACCACAGGTGCAAATCAGGATACTGATACTTATAGGGACTAGTAGCGCTAAGAACCCACTCCTTCATGAATTTGTCTAGTCCCTTTTTAAAGCCACCCAAATGAGTAGCCATCAGTACACCTCCTGGCAGCAAAATGCCGAGAAGCAGTTTTATCTAGCCTGAATTTCCCACCAATCCTCTTCAAGAGATGAACCCCACTGGATTCTAGCATTACGAGCAGGAAGAATGACTCCTTATCCATCACACGCAATTCTGCACACCTCTATCAAACACACGTTTTAAATTTTGTTCTCTGCATTTGATGAAGTCACACAAGCACACACACTTTATTATACACAATGCATGAATTCAACAAGTGTTTGGTATGTAGTTTAGGTCAGGCTTTGCTGACAATCTTGTGAGGCAAATTCCACGGCAAATCAAGGCTGTTTCTTTGCCGTATAGACAGAGCACTAATATGTACTACAACTGCTGGAGGCAAAATGCTGCAGTTTGTCATATAGCAAGTACATACGTGGGTAAAATAAATGTGTGCATGCTATGAGGTACCAACAGACTCAGAACAGGGGGTCTGGGAACAGGGCCAAGTTGCCCCCAT